CCCTCACAATTGCCCTTCCCTCAATGGTCCAGGTCCCCACGCCCTTCTTGCTTACCTTTCTGAAGACATCTGTCTATGTAGCAAGGGACACCTATTTTTAAATTTATTTTCTCTTTCTTGCCTTTTTTTTTTTTTTTTGAGACAAGGTCTGAGCTTGAACTCTATATAGTACAGATTGGAGTAATTCTCCTGCTTCAGCCTCCCAAATGCTGGGATTGCAGGTGTGCATCACCACGCCAGGCCTCTTCTTTCTTTTCAAAAGTGTATTTTAATAATTGACATAGTAAGCTGGGAGTGGTGGCTCACACCTGTAATCCAGCCCTCGGGAGACTGAGGCAGAAAGATTGTTGTGAGCTCGAGGCCAGCCTGGACTACATTAGTGAGATTGTCTCCAAAAAAATGACATAGTAATTGTACATGTGTAGGGATACAGTGTGACACCTCAGTGTATGTATGCAATGTGTATAGTGAGCCGGTCAGGGTAATCAGCACATTTATTAGTTGGGGGAATATTAAAAATTCCCTCTTCCTGCTATTTAAAAGTCCTCAGATGATTCTTATTGCCCACCATCACCCTGCTGTGCTGGTACTCTAATAGTTATTCCTCCTGCCCACTGTACCCCCTAGCTGTCCCCTGTCCATCCCAGGGTGCCCCCACCTTCTGGGACCGGCTATTCTCTAGTTCTGTGAGATTAACTGTAGCTCCCAGTAGCCGTGTCTCTAACCTGGCCTTCCTTCCAGGGATCTCCTCCTCCAAACTCTTTCCCTTGCTGGGAGCATGTGGTGATACAGCTCTGTAACCAAGCACTCTGGGAGGCCCAAGTGGGAGGACACCAAGTTCAAACCCCACCCAGGAAATTTAGTGAGATCCTGCCACAAAATGAAAACAATTAAAAAGGGTTGGTGATGAAGGTCCATGCAGAGCATCCTTGTACTGGACCCCCAGTATCCAGTAGCTCGCAAGCATGGCGTGCGCATGTGCGCACACACAGAGCTCCTGATTTTGGTAAGAGGGACTCAGGTAGAAAAGAGAACTCAGCAGTGATGCAGGATTGAGTCCTGAATTGGCCCTTCCGGCTGTGACCTCCTGTGGGCCATCTAGTTCCTCCTTCTCCACCCGCCAGGCCAAGACGTCTTCATGATTGAATCAGAGCCAAGAGGAATATCACCAACAGACAGCTTTTATTGAGAACAGGGGCCCAGACACTAATATTTTCCTTTGCATTTGAAAAAATAGATACCTATACTAAAAATAGCTTATTCTTTGTAAACCCTCACAGTAACTCTCCGAGTTAGGCAACAAATACCTGTTTAACAGTCAAGAACTTCAAGTTCACAGCAGTGCGAGGCCGATGAGAAGGGAAGGAGGCCTTTGGATTTGAATTCATCAGGGTCTGGGAAAACTCAACCTCTTCATTTAAAGGTCCCGGGGATGGATGTGGTGGTACACACCTATAATCCTGGCTACTCGGAGGCTGAGGGAGGAAGGTCACAAATTCAAACCCAGCCTGAGTAATAAGTAATAAGTAAGATCTTGTTTTAAAATCAAATTTTAAAAAAACACAGGTGGAGCTACTGCTATAGCTCTATGATGGAGAACTTGCTTAGCACGCATGAGCCCTTGGGTTCAATCCCTGGTACGAGAAAATAAAAACTGAAAAACGAATAAAAATAATAATAAAAAAAAGACCCTTCAGCCTGGAATTAGAGAACCCTTCAGAGCTGGAATTAGAGAACAGAAGACCTGTGCCAGAATTCTGGCCCTTCGTTATAAGGTGTAGTCCTCTGAGAGTTCTTCCTGCCAATCTATATCCTGGTCTCCAACGTCCCTTCTCAGACAAGGATGCCACCAAATCTGGCATCCTTCACATTGACCAGACTGCCACCAGGTAGCATGGACCCTTGCAGTTATAGAAATGGAAATGAACACTTCAGCACAAATTTGCAGAGACGATGTTGGAAATAAGATAAAAGGTTCCCCTTGGGGAGCAGCTAGAAGGGGTACTATGGTGAAGAGGCTCAGACTGGCCCTCACATGACCGGGTCAGCAGAGTGGGATCGGGGCCGGGGTCGTGAACTCAGGCCTGGTTTCCAAACTCTGGATGGATCTTACGGCTCGGGGTGTGGGGGGGATTCTGTTCCCATGAGATGATTGTTTGGAGCAGTTTCAGTCTTGTGAGGCTCTGCTGCTCCTGGGACCCAGCTGACTACTGGATCAGGGCCATAGTTGTGAAATTTTGGGGTCCAGGACTGGATGCTGCTGTATAAGCTGGTGATGGGAGGTCCCTCTGAATCCTGACCCTGTGGGCACTCTTATCTCCATGTCCTCCGTCTTGAAGAGGGATAAGACAGGTCCGGTAAGTCTAGGGCTAATAAACTTTGTTCTGCTGGCTTTTCCTAAATGAGTAACATACCTGTCCCCAAAGTTCCACAGCCATAGAGGACAAAATAAAGGCCCAGCTTTGCTCTACTTTACCGACTAGGTATCTGGAGGCCCCAGTGAAGAGTCAGGGGTCGTAGTATCAACCCCTGTAGAATCTGATTGTCAAAGAAAAAGAAACCATGCTTGAGTGATGAAAGGCTAAGGGCCCAGGAGTTTGTCCTTTGTGCCTGTAGCCGTCCCTGACAATGTCGGGCCCACACATGAGACTTGGCACGCGATGGAGATGCACCTGAAGTGCTACCACACATCCACGGAGACCCAGTAGACTGAGGCCAGCTCCTGCCCTTCAGTTCACCAAGCTCAGCTTCCTCCCTGGCTTTTCAACCCTTCCGCCCTTGGGAGTACCGTCTCACTGTTGATGCTTGCAAGTAACAGCTTTAGCTGTTTTGTTTCCTTGGGTTTCTGACCAAAACAATCTTAGCCCTTCTATCAGATTAGCCAGCCCTGGCCCGCAGCCTCCCTGAAACAGCTGAACGCTCTCTGCCCTCTTCCGGGGGATGCTTCCGGTGCTGATGGGGGACAGATGATTAAACCTCTCTCTCCGCGGAGCAGTGGACTAGGAAATTATTTTGCAGTTAAACAAACAAAGAATGGAAGCTCCTGGTGTCAGAGGCACACTGCCTTGGTGCTGATGCACAGCCAGGCCTGATGTCACAGCTGGGCACTAGGCAAAGTTTCCCCTCCAAGTGGTGCTGGGGCTGCAGACCGACCGGGTCTGCTCAGCAACTAGGTTGCAGGGGAAGCTGCATGTGTAGCAGCCACGTCTGCAAACTTGCTGAAGTTCCACCTTGATGAGTGTAGAACTTGGGCGGTTCTCACTTTCACTCATGGTAAGGGAATAGTTAACTAACAGTCTGAGGCCTTTCTGTTTCTCTATGGACTGGATTTAGGATGACTCCTGGGCCCCAATCCCAGGGAGTCAATGCCAGCTCTATGGCCTTGGTGACTTCTCTTGTCTTAGAATGTTCACGTGCAAAAATAAGGGCTAACAAGGGTACTTATCTCATTGGGTTAAGTAGTAAACTGAAATATACATAAATATAGTGTCTTACACGTAGGTGTTTTTTGCTGTTATTAAATGGATTGGGGCCTGGCCCAGAGTAGGGAGGCAGGGTTCAAGGATAATAGGCTTAGCCTCCCTCCCAGTTCCAGCTGCATCTCTAGCCCATTTATGTATTTAGACAGCAGTGTCATTATGTTGGCCAGGTGGCACTCACCTGTCACTCTGCCTGAGCCTCCCTTAATGCTGGATCACAGGGTTATACCACCACATCCAGTCAATCCTTTTTTGAGAAAGGGCTCCACTGAACTGCCCAAGTTTGGCCGTGAGCTTGGCATCCTGCTTCCTGCCCGATTGACGCTGACTTTAGGAAAATGTAGCCACCGTGTTCATCATGAACAGACAGGTAGTTGGGTTCACCAGTGTGTACCACCATGCCTGGCTTCTGATCTGCTCCTGACTTTGCTTCCTGTGTGTGTGTGGGCTTGGTGGTACCTTCTTCAGCTCTCCAATATCCAACTAGGGTTTCACTAAGTCTTCCCAGCAATACGGTCCACAACGATCCACCCAAAGGAAAGGCATGAAGCCCTCCCATGCAGTCTGCAAGACTTCTCACACTGGATTAGACAAAAAAAAGACTACTCTGAAACTCCTATAGGCATTTCAATATGTATCTTGGTCATTTACCCTCGACATCACCAAACTAGTTTCGGTCCTTGTCATAAAATTTTGAAACAAGGTATTCTGACAGTAGAACTTAATTTACTATTATCATCTGTGTTGTAAAGAATGAGTCTACTGAGTGAAACCTGAACTATGCTGATTGTAACTTGAATGCATTCATCCTAGTACTGCTTCCAAGGTATTAAAGTGAACTGGAGTTTGAGAGGTTGCGCTCAATACTGGACTACATGGCTTCTAACTTTAGCTACTTGATAGTTAATAGGTCATCATTTCCCATGAGACATCAAATGTGAAAGAACAATTTGGTGGAATAGTATCAGAGTAGTCACTCCTGTCATGATTTGCAAAGTCTTGCGGGGTGGGGAGGGTCACTCTGATTAGAATATGAGCTGGGCACGATGGCACATACATGTAATCTTTACTACTCCAGAGGCCAAGGCAGGACGGTCTTGAGTTTGAGGTCAGCATGCGCTGCTTAGTGGAACTCTATGACAAAATAAAGTGTGGAGGAAATAGCTCATGCCTGCATCTGTGATTTTCTTTTTTTTGTCTTTTTCCTTTTTATTGGTACTGGGGATCGAACTCACGACTGCCTGCTTGCAAGGCAGGTGCTTATGCCGCTGAGCTAAATCCCCAGCCCTGCATCTGTGATTTTCAAAACAGTGCAACAAGAACCTTCCATGGAACTGTGCCCATGGGCATCCTTCATGTCTGAGTGTTGATTTAAATGTGACAACACTGTTATCTAGGAACTCTGGTACCATACAGAGGAAGCTCCCACTGTGATGATGGCTCCAAAGATTTGGTGCCTAAATCTCTGATAAAAAACAATTAGAATTTTACATCATATTGTAAACATCAAGGAACACCACAGACATTTTAAAAAAGGAAGTTTATTGGTCTTTAAATGGCTCAAATTGCAAATAAACGAATCGGGTAGTGGCATCAGCCTAAGACATGTGATGCATCTTTGTCAGTTGGCTTCATAGCACCTCAGTACCCAGGAGAGGAAAGGGCTCAAAGCAAAGTCACAATGTTAGTGGTTAGGCCCCCTGGTTCAGTGAGACTGCAACAAGGACACATGGAGAGCACTGGGCCTGCCGCCCGGGTTACAGCGGAAACTTGGATTCTGCACACGGCATAGCTAAGAGGAACACGGAATGAAAGATGGACATCTTAAACCCTTTACGGACAGATAGTTAACACGACAAGCTGGATGTGATATCTAAAGAGCTGAGTCCCTAAAGAGCCTATTTTTGATAACTTCACATACACACCTGTTACCTGGAATGCCTGAACACATCTTTGACTTGCTGAAATTAAGACTCAGCAGCGAGAAAGAAAAGCTTTGCTGAATCACTGAAGTCTCATTTCAAAGAGGAAAGGGAAACTGACAATGGTGTATTTGCCACTGAAATCACGCTCCCAAAGAGTGCCCTACAATTCTGGTGGGAACGTCACCCACCGGTGACAGCCTGACGTCTGGTCTGTGTGCCAAACATGGTTTTTGCACTGTACCTGGGTTTGACTGGTGGAAGCTGACATTAGGAAAATGTAGCTATGGTGTTCTTCACTATGAACATAGACAGACTACAGGTGTTCCTGAGAACTCCCATAGAGCCAAACTGCAACCACATGAGTATAAACTTAGAACGAACAGGTGGCAAGAACAAGTATTTCCCGAAGTGTTCTAGTGCAAAATGTATTAGCACTATAGATGGTTTTCCCTGTGCCCTGCTCCCAGGAGAGAAGAAACTTAATACTTATGTGCTCACCACTCGCAGGTCATTTCCCGGACCAGCATCTTAAGAGAAAGAAAAAGCATTCACTCAAACGTAACTGGTGCAGAATCCTCGTAGTCTAAAATTATCTTACAAGTATATGCTGGCCCTTCATTTTCAACTTCCTTAGAGTTTGTTAGAAGCAATCAAAGAGCTCTGGAACTTTATATTTTCAAGTACCAGAGTATGGCACACATTTTAGAGTTTGGACAGACTCCTGGCAGATAGTAATTTCTCAAGCATCTGCTATACAAAAGCTACCCTCCATCTAGGTAAGAACAGATCTCTCACCAGGACACGGGAAGCTGTGGGGGGACCCCTGTTACCAGCGAGAACACACCCAGAATGATGTGACCAGATATTTTTCGGTTTCTAAATTAAGGCATATTCAAAAATGTCCATGTACAAGTTTTATGCCACTTTTCTAAGTCAGTCACCAGGTAATTAATGCAGATTCACAGATGAATTACTCTCAGTTTAACTATATGCAACAACCATGCCAATAACGTTTTCTCCTATATTTTGCATAACAATGGTTAAAAAAGTGGTACAGTTTAACTATCATGTTCACAATTGTCATTTTTCAAGGCAGTAGAAGACCAAGACATTTTAAAATGATATAAAATTTAAGCTTTATAATAAACACCAGAGGAAGTGGCCTTTCCTCCATTCCCCACCCCATTTCATTTCTTTATTTAACAGTTCAAGAAAGACCGCCAGAGAATACAAGCCCCACACTACATTCAGGACTGTGGTAAATGTAAGCAATTATGAAATAGGTTGAATTTTGCTTCTTGAGGAAGCCACATTAATTTCTTTTTTAAGTGAATTTGACTTTCAGTGCAGTTCCAATTCATGCTTTTAGTGATACATAACAATTTCCAAAATGTTAAAGTAATTTCAGTCAATTGAGCCTTCGATGGCAATGCTTATAAATTATATTTATTAGTATGGTCAAGATAAGAAAGAAGTTTGGGCTTTGATTATAAAATGCAGCATCTTTCTCTGATTCTCTTGGCTAAACTTTTCCTCTTCTTTTTTCCGTTCTTTTCTTTGCTGTCTTCCATCTTTCTGGCTCGAATTTCCCTCATTAAATCAAAAAATACCTAGAAAGAAGAAAGTAGGATGAATAAAGCAAACAGATAATATGAACGTGGTACTTTTCTGATGCATAGCCGGAAACCCTGGGGACCAGGAAGAAGGCACACAGCTCACCCCCACCCCAGAGCTCCCTGAGGGTGCAGCCCTTGGCCACCCACGCAGGTGCTCCACTCCGGCCCAGCCAGGGTCTCGCAGGGGAGGACGGGGAGCCCGTGGCCCCAAACCCAAGTCTGCTCCTCCAGTATCTTGAGAACATGGGAAAACTACAAGTTTTTCTGAATTATACTTTTTGATAAAAATGTTCATAGAATACCTGATTTTTCTATTCTAGTTTTCAAGATAAAAACAAAGAAAGTCCTACAAAATAATGAGAGCTAAAGACAAAATTTCAAATGGGCTATTCTTGAGTACTTTATGATGGATAAATGTGTTTTAATTCATATTTAATAATTTTTAATAAAATTGTATTGAATAACTTAATTACTATGTTTACTAACTTACTTTCCTCAAGCAGATCTATTTTTTGAAAAGGAGCCAAGGATGGCAGTGCTTTATCATCTTGGCACCAGACACTCGGTTGTAATGTATTTGAGAATTTGACAACTTTTGTCTGATGTCTAGGATTCCCAAGTAATGACACTAACATAATAACTAAAGGTATTACATCACAACTCAGGAGTTACACTTCTACTGTGAACGCTCTCACGCAGAAGGGCCGGGAGCACAAGCTCATGGTGGAGGAAGAGTTGGTGAGCATCTGGGACGGCGGAGGACAAACTTCGAAGGTTCACATTATTGTATTTTTGGTTTTTAAAAATTCAGTTTCTATTTATAGAATAAAGAGTAAGAACAAGAAAGATGTCAGAGACAACGAACGCCCTAAGTAAAGGACCGTGTGTGATGAGGAAGGAGTGCCGTCTGGTGCAACCCGGCTCCCCAGCGGAGACTGACTGAGCAAGAGCGGGGTGCAGGGGCGCTCACGGCCGGGACAGCCGCCTCGGCAACGCAAAGGGAGAGTGTAAGCCCCAAACCAAGAGCCAGTTTCATTTTCAAAAGGAAGCGAGAGCAGCACAGAGGGTGGTGGGGGATCTCTGTATGCACCTCATCATATAATTTCTACTTTGGAAACATAAAATCAAAACAAAAACACACACTGACTGTATTCTAAGTTGGTGACATAATCAGGGAGAAGAAAGAATTATTTCTAGGGTCTTTGGAACACAGCATAGAGAACATTTGCATTAGCACAGATAAATAAACAATGGAAGCCCCACAAAAATACTGCAGGATAATGCAAGTGAACAACTGTTAACGTGGTGTAGGAACCTGGACTCCTAGCAAGGGAAAAGACAGATGAGATTCAAGAGGCACAAAGCTGAAAAGCTGAATTTGAGTCAGAAAGAATACGAGCCGATGAGGGTTTTTGTTTTATTTTGTTTGCTGAGAGGGTTTATGTCTCAGGCTGGCCTTGAATTCACTCTGTAGCCCAGGCTGGCCTTGAACTCACAGTGATCTCCTGCCTCATCCTCTTGAGGGCTGGGGTTACAGGGTTGGGATTATAGGTGTCTCTACACCAGCTTTTCTTGCTTTTTAAGTACTACTTCCTACCATTTTTTGCTGAACTGGCCACAAAGAAATGATGATCCAAATGGCTGAATCCTGCTCCGCAGTGAGACATAAAATTTACAGTGGTGAGTGAGAACACTCTCAAAGACCAGTAGACCACGCTGAAGGGATACAAGATCAACAGGGAGGGGCACAAATGGTTATAGGGAAAGGTGAACACACACACACACACACACACACACACACACACACGCGCGCCCGCGAACAGAGTGAAACACACTGGTGATGTAAACCTTGTGCGTTTTGCCCCTACATATTAGAAGAAGGGATTTCAAGGCCTTTCTTCAAGTTGGTGTTGATGCGCTGGGCCTGGAAGTCTCCGACCTAACTACATGTAATTTCCTGAGTACTCCCAGGACTGCTTTCTAATGCACAAGCTCCACTATGGAAAGGATATTATAAGAACGCTTGATTCCCAATTTTTGTGAGTCTCTGTAATAAACTGCCAGTGCATCCTATTAGAAGCTACCGAGGCCACTTAAACTAGAAAACACAGTGGGAAACTTGAGGTCTGTGTCAGCTAACTTAATGAATTAACGCTACAGGAAGTTCTGCTCTGACTGCCAAGGGCAGGAAACAGGAACTTGGGACAGGAATAAAGCACTGGTTTTGATGAACCAGGCAAACAACAGTCCCCTGGGTGCTGGGCTTTTCCCACTAATTTAACACAGACACTTTCATATCACTTCTCTCCCTCTTTTCTTCGCATCCTCTCTTGTCCTGGTCTTTCTCTCTTCCTACTTTAGGGTAATCTGGTACGTACGAAATTTGGCTTGTATAACTGGTACAAAATTCTGGACCAGACAGCATAGGAAACCTTTCTTCTTCTCACACAAACCCAAGCAAAACCAGACAGAAACAATATATAAGTTCATAATGTAATCAAATACAATAAAGGTCTCTTATAGAAAACAATAAAAAAGAAGTAAAAACATACATGAATTTTTTTGAAAAATTAGAATGTTAGGAAGCAAGCCAGGAACCTCAGAAATCAAAATGGAAAAACTCCAGCATATATGACATTATCTTTAATATCTTTCCATGGCAAAAGACAAAAATAAGCCAAGTAGAGATATGAGACAGATTAGGAGGCAGCATTTATGACAGATATAAATGGACTAAGGGCTAATATATACCAGTCTTAAGAATAAAAAAAGATAAAGAAGCCATTAGATAAGCAAGCAGAGGAAAGGATTTCAGAGAATTCACAGGTGACAGACACACAGCCAGAGAGTCAGTCAAAAGATGTGCAGCCTTGTCTGTAATTGGGAAACACACAACACTACTTTGCCTGTCTACTGGCGATTTTTAAAGACTGTTTGAATCACACTGGGAAAGCCATGGGGAAAGGACTTCCTCGTGTACAGCTGGTGGGACCCGAGGGCAGCCTTCTGCAGGGTAACTGGTCGTGACAATGTGGAAGGCACTGGGGTCTTTTCTCTTGAGTGGTTACACACACACACAGGTCAGTGTAGTGTTGTCTGTAACAACAACAACAACAAAACTAAGAACCAAAATGCCATTAGGAGGAAAATGATTTGAGTTACAGAAAAGCCTAACGATGGAACACTCTGTGGATTTTAAAAAGAATGTGGGAACATTTATATGCAACAGCATGGAAAAGTTGTAAGATTTATTTGTGAAGTCTAAACAGCAAACCAGAAAACATATACACAAACATACATACATATGCCCTATGAACAAAAAACAAGCAAGCCCTTCCTTTACCATCTGGAAAGATACACCAGGGTTAGCGCTGGTGACAGGAGGGAGGGGGACAGAACAAGGGCAGAAAATGACTCCTTTCCTTCTCCCCCTTGCAGGTGGGGATTAAGCTTTACTATGTCACCACGGTTGGCTGACGCCACCTTGGGGCTTAGTACAACATGCTTGGGGTGTTTGTGGGTGGGTCATGGGGTCATGACCTGGGTTACTATATTTGGTCCTTTCCGCCTTCCTCTCGGGCCCTTCTGGCCCTGTTGCCCTGCTCTGCTTCCCGGCTAACGTGAATTAGGCACTTCTGTGTCACCAGGAAACACTTCCGCCTTGGAGCCAGCTAACCATGGACTGAATTCTCTGAAAAGTCAGTCAAATTAAACTCATGGGTATCAGGTAACCTCTCTCAGTAATAAGAAAACTGAGTAATACAGAGCACTGCTAGCAAATCAGTTAGGTTGTTGCTGAGACTGTACCTCATCATGTGGTTTAGAAGTCTTTGGAACCAGTTTGCAGGAAAAGTTTGGAAGGATAGGAGATGCAGGCTAGAAAAGGGCAAAAGGTAGAATAGAAAAGTTTGAAAGACTTAAACTTTGGCCCAAAAGGAAACACTTCTAAAATGGAGGCAAAGGAGGTATGGCTGCTAGAAAGACCAGCACCATTAAAAAGAAATCAAGGGTTTTGTACAAGGACAAGAAAGTACCTTGAGGGCATCGCAGGAATGGCCAGACCCCATTCACTGCAGGCTCAAGGGTGCAAAAATGTCAACTTTTCATTGGAGAAGAGATTCCCTGGGATCCCACTCAGCAGGATTCATTTCTCTCTGCTCAGCCACGCAGATGCTCAGAGGCCACTGTGGCCATGGTTCAAGGGAGCCTGACTACTGCTCCTGCTAACAGCAGATCGTGCGGTAGTTGTTTTACTGGTATGCAGACTCCAGCAGCTGCAAGGCCAAGATTTTAAAGGAAAGACTGGAAATTTAGGCAAGGAGACCTTGAGAAATGCAGAGCATGAAGCTGTGGGAATGAAGCTGAAGGTGTAGTGGAGATCCCAGGAGTCAGAGATTCTAGGAATATGGAATGTCCACCAAGGAAAGCTGCAGGTTGTGAGTGGGGCCAGTCAAAAGAGAGCCATGAGGGTTGTACCACTGGAACCACAGGATGAGACGTCCAAGTCTTTTAGGGTCCCATTTTACCACTGTGTGCCATACACATGGATATAAAGCTACTGGGCCTAATGTTTGCCCTGTTGGATTCTGAGCTTGTTTTGATCCTAGTTTTTGTATTCCTGCCCTACCCCCTGTCAGCTCTCCCTTTGGATTGGGAACGTTTAACCTGTGCACGTACTTTGGGGTTTTATAATTTGTTTTTGATTCTTATAGCTGTTCATAGCTAAGAGTGCTTTGAGTCTCAGAAGAGAATTAGACTTCTGAAAAATGCTATAAGAATAGCTGCTGAGACTTCGGAGGAAGGGATTATTGTTTTTTCTGGTTGCACACAGGGTAGATGTAACATGTTAGGTGGAATTACGAAACTGTTATTGTGTTTATTTGGAGATTAAGCGTGGTTTAAGAGAAGTGTTTGGGTCTCAAACTGATAAGAAGTAGAACATGGCAGTTAAGCTTAATTGTGTCAATTTGGCTGATTTGGGAGCCACCTAGGAGATTAGTAGAGTACACATCTGGGTGTGTCTGATGGGTCAGGGCAGTGTGACCTATTACATTTGGTCCCTTTCCTATTCCAATTTAAGCTTCTTCTTTAAATTGTGGTTGTCATGTATTATGGTCCAGTGACAGGAAAGCTGACTAATACATTATAGTTCGTTGTGACTAATTTTTCTTTACATCGTAAATACATATTTGTGCTATTACTTATATAAAGAAAAACCAAAATATTTTCAAAAAAGTACAGTACACATCTACTAACATATTTTCCCCACTGGACATCTATTTGCTCAACTTCCTTCATTTTTCCAACATGTTCCTTAAACCCTGGAGTCAAGAACCACAGCCTTTAGCCAGATGGTTACTGATGAGGCTGCTGGAGGGACGCTGTGAGTGCACACAAGGTCTGCCCAGAAGGGCCTCAGGTCTCTTCTTGTTAGGACACTTTCCATACAGCATTTAAAACCTGCCTCTTTGGAACTTCCATTCACTGGTCTACCTGGTATCCCAGTGAAGATAAAGAATGAACCCAGTACTCCTGTGGGGAGCGTTACTGATCACAATTCAACAGGAGACAGTATTAACACTTGGTAACCCTGAAAACTCACTATCAGGTTTCTGGAAGTGGATGACATACAACATAAGGGACACCACAAGCTATTCCAAATGTCATTTTGAATAAGAGTGACAGACGTGAGCACAGAGCTGCCGGATTCAGAGCAGGACCGATGCTACCACCAACCCTGTGACCTTGTACCAGTTATGAAATCTCTCCATGCGTGTTTCTCCATCCAGAAATGAAAATAAGACCATCTGTGCCTCATGCACTTGAGGACTAGTGTTTGCCACAGTGCCCAGCTCTTGTAAGCACTAATAAACATTCACTCTTTTACATCCTCAGGAAAAAAAAAAAAGCCTTATAACTTAATTCTAGAAATTGCTTAGTTACAGCGAGTTACATTTATATAGCCACTAAAGTGCCTCACCTGGTAGCCACTCTGCAAGGGTTAGCAGTGTATGAGCTGCAGTTTTTACTAAGATTGTACCTCAATTTACAAGCAGCCCCACTTGATGTCATTCTGTCATGGAGAAGTGACCCTATGACTGTGGACAGTCTTCCAAATGGCTGCAGCAGTATTTCCTACATGGATTTTAAGAGTCCTGCCACTCTCCATCAAGAGCAAGAGTATTCCTAAGGTTCTCCTGAACGCAGGTCGGGTTTTGTGACTATACTGATCAAAAGCATGAGGCTAAAACACTGCTACACATCTTGAGAGGTCAGGCTCTAAAGCTCTAAAGCAAAGTTTTTCTGCCTGGTCCTTACTCTGCTATGACACCTGCCTGGAGCTCTGCCACTGTGCTGTGACAAGGCCTAACAGCACACGGCCACATGGCAAGGAACGTGGCAAGGAACCGAGCCATCCCCAGTAATAGCCAGCATCAACTAGTTGAGCCAGACAGGTGAGAACAAGCCTTAGAACCTAAGTCTAGAAATTTCCAGCACACTGACTTAAAGATTTTCAGCCATGCCACTACATTTTGTGCAGTAGAGATGATTTATATTCCTGTATATAACCACTGTAATTAAAAACAGCCTAAGCCCTTTACTTTTCTTCTTTTGAGAATACACACAAATGGAAAGAAGTTCAAGCACAAAGCCCTTGGAGGGTGTTTACAGTGAAATGCACATGCGCCTGTAACTTAAGTTACCTGGTGATGACCACAGCTACCTGCCCTCACACATTCCTAAGATATTCACAGATGCAGGAACATGAATGCATACCGAAAACACTGCTGCCTAGAGACACTCTTATGTACCCTGCTTTTTTTACTCACTTATATTGACAATCATTTTATATCAGCATATTCAGCTCAATCACCACCCCCACTTTGTGATACTGGGGATGGAACACAGGGCCTTTGCATTGAGCTGTATCCCTGGGCCTTTTTTATTTTCAGAGAGAGACTCACTAAATCACTAAGTTGCCTACGCTGGGTTCAAACTTGTGACTTTCCTGCTTTGGTTCCCTTAAGTGCTGGGACTTCAGGCACATACAACTGTGCCTGGCTCTCCCATTCTTTTTAATGGCTTAGTACTATTTCACTGCATGGACACATCATATGTCAATCAGTCTATTCCCGGGTGCTTGGATATCCTGTAGTCTCTTCCCTCTATAAACAATGCTTCAATGACTGACAACTAAGCATACATCCCTATTTGAGTCTATGGTTTTCTCTGTTGTTTCGTCATAATTAGGATAGGTAGTCACACTGCTCTAACATTCTACTTTCTTGCTTTGCTAAACTCTTGCTGATAATGTTATAACCAACCTCTTTGCTTTTACACCATGGGACAGGCTAAGAAAAATAAGCCATCATATTTTAACATTATTGCTTCCTTTTTTTTTTTTTTTAAATCGGTACCAGGGATTGAACTCAGGACCCTGCGCTTGCAAGGCAGGTGCTTATGCCTCTGAGCTAAATCCCCAGCCCCTATTATTCCCTTTCAAAAAGTGAAGTTGAACTGCTTTTCAAATGTAAAAGCCTTTGCATTTTCTGCAACATTATTGCTCCTATTTTTGGATCATTTCGAAACCCCAGTGGGGTGCTGGGCATCTTCTGGTCCTGAGACCTCTGATCATGCACATCACCACCCTTCCCAGGCCTTACAGACTAACAGGTGCCAACCACAAGGGCTGTCACAACACAGGGCTCCGCTGCCTGTGAACAGTCACCTCCCGTCTCTCTTCCCCATTTGCCTTGGTTCAAGTTGCTTTTATAGTGTGTTCTATGATCTGCTCAAAACACCAACTAGGAGCAAACAAAACATGACATGCTGTGGTAGCGTTCAATGCAGTTTTTCAAAACCCCAAACATGCTCAATCTTTTTTTTTCCTTCAAATTTTTGAGACTTGCTATGGAGCACAGGTGAGCTTGAACTCTATAGCTCAGGCTGACCTCAAATTTGTAGTCTTCTTGCCTCAGCCTCCCAAGAGGTGGGATTATAAGCATGTGCACTGTATTTGGCTCCAAACATATTTAATTTTTATAAGCACTCTAAAAAAATTGCCCTGATCTCTGAGCAAATCAGTGTATTATACTAAGTAGAAATCTTACAGTGCTCATTTTATACAGATTATCTTGGACCATGTGACTAAAAAATTAATCAGGTAAGCCATAGTAACACTGTCTTGAGATCTATAGCAAAAGAACTGTTTCTTGGGCCAGATCTATGGCACTACAGGTACAAGCAGATCTGTCCACAAGCACCCAAGGCCCCAGACAGTGTGACTCTCAGCATGGCCCATCAGTAAAGCCCGCATCAACTGAAACTTGCTAGGACACCAATTCTCAGGCTCAGCCCAAGAGAAGTAAAATCTCAGGGGCAAGGCCCAGGGTGTGCGCTCACCAAGCTTTCCAGGCAACGGATCACACACTGGAGCTTAAACAGCACTGCTGTGGAGGCTGACCAGAGGCTCCATCTGGGGGCTTTGGGCACCTGGCTGCTTCCCCTGAGGGAGCCTGGCTCATGCTGGGGGTCTCAGGTGCAGGATGCGAAGTACCTGAAACCTGGCGGGACTCCACATAGTCCCTGGGAAGGCTCTGTACAACATAGGAAGCCGGGCAGGGAGGTGACCCTCCTTCCCACTCGAAGGGAAATAAATGAAGGCCAAATGGAAGGAATGTAAAGAGTAAAGAGATCTTAAAATTCTCTTTTCTGAAGAAGATTCCTCCATCTTTGGAGCCATGTTTGCTTTTGAGAGCCTGAAGAGGTCCTGGCAGGCGCCAGGCCAGCAGGGAGGCTGACCAGGGCCAGCATCTCGAGCCTTACACAATTCCTCCTAAACTATGCAGCCCCACCAGGACAAGAAAAAAGCCAGGCCTGCCATCAACATGCAAAACAAAAGTACATTTTGTTGTAGTGTCTCATGATTCAAAGTCCCTTGGAGACTGAGAACAAGCAGTCAGAGATTCTTAAACATGCTGCCCTTAAGTACTCAGGGACAGTAAAAATCAAAAAGGACTAAGTCTCCCTGGGAGTCTCACAGCCTACACAAAATGGAGACGAGTGAAAGCAACGAACCTATTTTTCACAGGTCACAGTAACAAGGAGCCAGCGTTTTACCTTGTCCACGTTGGCTCGCGTCTTAGCAGACGTTTCCACGTAGTTCACGTTCCACTGATCGGCTCTGTTCTTCGCCTCTTCTACTGAAACCTGCCTTTTATCTTCTAAATCGGACTTGTTACCAACCAGTAGAAATGGAACATTTTCATCTTCCTTTACTCGTAAAATCTGCTCCCTGGACAAGAGAAAAGCAGGAAGAAATATTATCAAGTGCCCAAATGTTAAAATAGTAAGATAACGATTAGTGATCTGCAACCAGCATTTATCTGTAATTGTTTGTTTCTATATAGCAACAATAGGCTTATCTATCACATGGCAGAAAACAAGTATTTCTTCCATTTCCCACCACCTATTATTTGTGATACACACTCACTTCGGTAATGATGGAAAACCACATCAACAAGAGAACGTAACATGAACATGAGGTACAAAGGGAGTCAAATGCAATTTCCCCTAAAGGGTTTTTCTCAGAAATAAACTCTTACTTTGGAGGGTTTAGTTAGGTATGTATGTATGTATATGTGTATCTATTTATTTACTCGAGACAGGATCTTGCTCTGTAGTTCAGGCTGGCTTTGAACGCATGTGATCCTCCTGCCTCAGCCTCTCGAGTGCTAGGATTACAGGTGTGCATCCCACGCCCGCTCTGGAAGGGTTTTACACTCTTAGAGAGACTGAGAAGATGGTACAGAGAGTTCAGGTGCATTACATACCCACTTTCTCCACATTAACATCTTGAATGAGTGGGGATGCATATGTCACAATGAATGCACTGATCATGACCAGCATCATTAAGGCCCAAACTTTATCCAGATGTTCTTAGTTTTTAACTAATCTTTTTTCTGTTGCTTCAGTGACTACCACTGATCATGCATTGATATTTGGGTCTCAGGTTTTTTCTTGTGGTTTGGTCATCACTGTGACAATCACCACACTGCTCGTCACACACTTTCCTGTTTTTCTGTGTTCCTGCTGACAGCCCCCATCGAGGATTCCATGTGACATTTAGTCTCCTTAGACCGCATGTAGCTGTGAAAGCTCTTGGACTTCCCGTTTTTGATGTCTTTGACCGTTCTGAGGGCTGCCTAGGTCTCTCTGTTGGGATTTGTGAAATGCTTTTCTCATGATTAAACTGGGATATGGGTTTTTGGGAAGACAATACTGTTATTTCACATCAAAGGTCCCACAGATGTTTTTAAAACCCCACACATGGCAGAAATTACTGGAAGTGGCTCCTGAGCACAGCCTTTGCATGTAGAGGTAAGCTCTATACTGTGAAGGTAGCATCAATCTTAGAGTACACTGGCTCTTGCTCTTCACGTGACTAAGCGAGTCCTCTTTTTCATTTCCTTATCCACAAAATAGGACCAGCAACATTTTCCTCGTTTGGCTGCCATGAGGATTAAATGTAAAATGCTTATAACTATGTGTGGCACATAGTGAATATTCATTAAATGTTCTTTGTTCTCATGAGAGGAAGAAATTTAGGTGATTTTTAAATCAACACACAAGAAGAAATATGTAAAAGGCTGGAACGTTAGTATTTTTAAGAGAAAAATGTGAAAACTAATGGATTATATGAATGGCAGTTCAGCAAAACACATTTGATTTTTCTAGGCTGTTGCGGTGATGCTTGAGGGACTGGGTCAAAGCCTTCTTCACGACTTTATCTCAGACTGGTTGTTCTGACTCCCCAGGAGCATTTCCTGAGTGCCACCCACAACCACGCCCTATAGCAAGAATGTCCGGCCTGGTACTCACCATGGGCCAAAGCACTGACACTTTAGTGCCGTACATACACTGTCTCACTTACTCCTCACACACCTGGGACACTAGTATTACTATTCTTATTCTACCATAAGGAAATGGAGATCCACAGAAATCAAGCTGGCTCATTCAGTTAAGTACAAGTAGGGTTTAGACCCGAGAAATTTAACACTAGAGAACACATGCAACTTTTATGCGAGATACCTTGGAGCTCCCCAAATGAGGTGCATTTAAGGGCACACACCCTGAAACAGAAGGCTGAGCTTCCCAACACTTCTTTACGAGCAGTGATCCCAATTTGTGGTATGTAATGGGGCACCACGGGGCCTGACACTATAGGGAGGTTCTCCATGTCACACGACACCTCTCCACACAGCACGGTTACAAGCTGGCTAAGGGATGTCATCGCACTGGGGATCAGAAAGTGCTCATCGCGTACAGACAATATTGCCTTTCTTAAAAAATGTTTTAAATTAATTGTATCTGTTGAGAATTAGAATACTAACAAACAGTGCTATCATAATGTCATAGGGTATTTAAAGTTTAAAATGCTTAATATTTTAAAAAAACAAACAGCAGAGGACAGGACTGTTTTAAATAGGAAGCATAATGTAGTTCACTGAAGGACCGCGAATCATCGTCAGTTAGAAAGAGCTGGTGCAGCGTTGCCATTACCCTCAGGCATGCAGAAGCAGGCCTTCCAGGGTTCAGCCTCTGTGGTCCTGACCGCAGGCCTCTTGATTTCAGCCTCTGCTGTTCTGACTGCAAGGCGGGGAGAAGTCACTTAGCCTCTCCGTGTTTCAGTTTCATCACTTAAAATTTTGTATAATAATTTTTAAAAGTCAAATGTTCAGGATTTCACTAGCTATAAGCTTTATTTTATGTACTACCTAGAAAAGCTGCCTATAATAACAACACTAAGAAGCTGAGACACAGCCCTGACTTTGCAAACGCTAACATGTGGAACTGTATTATCTTGGCACCTATGATCGTAGCCACTCCCCAGGGCTGTGTGATGAATTTGTTCACGTGAATGCTCAGAAGAGTGTCTGGCTCGTGGCAGCTGCTGCACGAGTGGCTGGTAGTACCACTGCTCATATCACTACCTCAGTTACCTGATTACTGGCACACAGCGACCGCTAACAGACTCAGTGCTTGCAGCATGTTCTCTGGACCTGTATTCTCAGTTCCAACATGTACACAGTATGCTCACGCAGAAAGTCACTTCCACCTTTCACTGATTTGCACTTGCGACACCCTTTTAAAAAATAAGGCTAAGAAGTGTGACATGTGGGTGTGGTACGGTAAGCTATGGTTACATAAAGTTATATATAAGGTTTCTTACCACTCACGATTTCTTGCAAATACAGTGGCACTTCCACTCACAACTTAATTCTTTCCACAACTCTGGTTGCAAGCTGAGTTGAGTGAGAACCAGATTGCAGAGAGAATTAAGTTTGGAAACTGAGCTATCAGTATAGCCTGTGACGTTCATTATCACTGCTATTAAACTCATAATGTGCTTGTGGAGAGGATTTTAGCCAATCACAATCTTCTTCCAAGGTTGATAACAACATTTTGCTGTGACTTTCTCAACTAGTTTCCTTCATGACTGGCAACCTGAACTAAGATTTTAAACTGACTTAGCATTCAGCCTCACTAAGCATCAGGACGATGATGTGACCTGGATGCAGGTGAACCCGCACTTCCGGTTATGTGTATATATGCTCATTCATTCATTTGTTAATAAATACTTCCGATGCTACTCTTAGACACTACAGCAAGACCAAACCTGAAATCACAGTGTAACCAAACTGTCCGAAACACGACTGCAGAAAACTTGGGCTAGCAAGCTGGTTACATTAGCCACTTTTGGGAATGTCAGAGAATGGTAATGCTATGTCTATAATCTTCATACACATTTTGCTGAATGCTATGATCCCTTTAAAATAGTTTTAGAGCTATTATACACTTTTAGAATACAAAGTCCCTTTTCAGTATTATCCAACCTCACTTTTGACATAGCAAAGTAAGCCACGAAATGTAAGTTTTTTCAAATCAATCATGTACTACAGTTATATGACTGCTTCTGTGTCAAAGGTGGGTGCCAGAATACCGAGATGGATAATGTGTTGGTTACTTTTCTTTCCTTGCTGTACCAAAATACCTGACACCCAAAATTAGGGAAGGAAAAGTTATTTAGCTCAAAGTCTGAGGAGGTTTCAGTCCATAATCAGCTGGTTCAAGGCAAGGTGGCATGCAGAGGGGCAATGGTTCACGGAAAAGCAACAAGAACACAAGGAACAACAGGGGAGGGCAAGCCTCTTCCCCTTCCTTAATTCCATGCAGGCTACTCGCTTCAGGTGGGGGCAGCACTCTTGCTTCCAGTCTCAGCACTAGACAGTAAAACAACCACAGACTCTAGATTCAGCCACCTTCAAAAGGTCCACCTCCCATGCCTGCCTGAGGCTTGGGGGGACATCTAGACACAAAGCGTTACAGGTAAGAAACTGGACTTGCTCTTGGGGATCTTCACCTTACAAGGAAAAGCAGACACAAACCAAGCTCACTGTAAGGGTGTGCATGATACTGCAGCTGTAGCAAATGCTGCACTGTCCAGAGGGACTTGACAGAGAAGATCAGGAAGGCTGATGGGAGGAGCCGGTGTTAATGCCACAGAGCTGCAGGTCCGACCACGCGGAGCGACTACTACAGTCATTCAGACCTTCTCAAAAGTGCCTTTCACACTGCTGGTGAGTCACCACGGCCATTTTTTATTTATGGGAAGGGCACCACACTGGAGGTATACTAGAAGACTAATGAATCATCCTTATTTTCTGTAACAGTTGTAGCCCAAGATTCTCTCTTGGCACAAAAATACCTTATTCTCTTGAGATAGCACTTCGGCTTTAGTAACTATGGTGACAAAATTTATTCCATTACCTAGAACAGGACTTGCTACATAATAAACTCTCGTGTACCTGCTGAATGAGTAAGTGCTGACACATACAGCTGAACACGTCTCCCGGCTTTACGAGGTACCAGGATCTGCCACCCTTTGCCCTTTATCATTTAGAAAATTCCCTCGTTTTATAAACCAACAAACTTAGTCTTACAAATAAATCTGTCTTTTAAAGTTTCTTAATGACCCTTTTGTCAAGGCATGTTCTCTTAGAATCTTGTTCTTGCGTCTTTCACAAGTGTACATAGGAAGGAATGTTCTGTATAAGCCCCAGTTCAGGTTTTGGCTCAGGCACCGAAATGTCTTCTTTTCTCCACTGTGCCCTCATTCTCTTCTTCAGGCTCAACTACTGGTGAAGGCTTCCAAGCTCCTTACCCCTTCTGAGTGCTCTTTACAGTGACCTTGGCCGAGGTCTCCTTTGTCCCATCCTTGCCTTGCTTATGTGGCTTATATATTCAACTGGGGTGCATAACTCTTAAAATCAGATGATATATTACTACAGGATATATTATTACGTACTTCTCTTGTGTCCCCATTAGCAAAGCAGAAATGTAACACAGAAATAAAAATACACCACGAAAGGACACATGTGATGATGCAAGCAGTATATGTAAGATGTTATGGTTTGTGTCTAGATGTCCCTCCAAAGCTTCATTTGGTCACAGGTTTTTTGGAGGTGGCCGAATCTAGAATGTGTACTTGACGTGTAGTGCAATTCTGGAACTAAGGGTGGGTGACTGCTGGATCACTCTACCACCTGGACTGGTGCTGCCCTAACCCAGTAGACCGGATACAATATAAGGGACAGAAAGAGGTTTGTCTTCCTCTCCTGTTGCTATCTTCTGCCACCATGAACTGTTTTTCCTCTGGGATGACCCTCTGCCAAGGCACACTGTCTTGGACCTAGTGAATTATGGACTAAAACTGCCACAAACTGAGCTAAATAAATCTTTCCTTTAACTCTGGGTGTTAGGCATTTTGTCTCAGAAATGAGGGAAAAGTAATTAAGACACAAGGCTACTCAAGAACTTTATGTTAAATTTCTCTTATGTTTATGGAAAGGAACCCTTCATCCATTTACCAACTGCCTTTCCCCAAACCAAATGATGCCAGGTTTAGAGAAAGCAAAAGATACCTAAGATATACAGTAGGATACAACCTTGTGTGTCAGCATACAGTGACTTTACCACAAATTCAGTGCTTACTTCTTTTTTTAAAATGTAGGGCACCAGCACTGTGAAAGGGGCGACAATGTACTTACGGAGCACTACACAGGGACCAAAAAATCGATGACTGAAGTCTGGGAAAGCGCCATGATAATAGTGCAAATACCAACTACCATGACAGTATAGCACTTTAGGAAAAGTAATGCACAGAGGGACTCTGGATACCACAAACTCAAGTTATAAAACAGGCTGCACTAGGAAGGCTATAAAGTTGTGCAAAGTACCTGAGTACAAGCACGATTAGAGACAGAGTCAACATACCTGAAGTCGGCAGTGGCTGCAAAGGATTCCATTTCTGTAATAGAGAAGACACAGAGGAAGCCCTCCCCACTCCGGAAGTAGTTGTCTCTGATTGCAGCGTAATCCTCCTGGCCAGCTGTATCCAAGATATCGATCTGCACTTCTTCCCCATCTAGCACGACTTTCTTCCTGTAGCTGTCAGCTTTGGTGGGCTCATAGTCCTCCACAAACTAGAAAACATGAAATACACTCATTCTTTCATTATCATTTTTGCTTGTCAAAACTTAGTTTGATTATCTTTTTTATTTTTTGGTGCCAAGAGTTGAACTCAGGACCTTGGCTTGTCACGCAAAACTTTTATATAAAGGTCAAAATACACAGAGATCCATGTGCTCTTTACTCAGTTTCCTCATGAAAATGAAGTGTTCACCTTCATTTTAGATACTTAGCTTCCTTATTTGCAAAAAGAGGGGGCTCAACTACTACTTGAGGCAGGCTGTTTACAGCTTGAAAATTATGTCTTTTATCTTTACTAAAATACATATATGCCAAAAAATATTACACGTATATTTTATCAAAATTTTGAGAATTGTTTCCAGTGTGAATCTAAATATACAGCATTGGGCCAGAACTATGGAAACAACTTAAGGGTCAATATTCAGGTCAACAATGAAAGTACCATGAACCCTTTTCTTTCTCTAAAATGGCACTTCTATAAGAACCAAGTCAATAGTGATTTATACTAATTCACAGATGGTCAACCTTGACTTTTGAGATTTTTTTCCCCAAACTTTAGAAATTTTTTAATAATTTTAAAGTAATATAATTAAAGTTTTACATTCCCATTCCTTTCACCAAGTCCACGAATCTGATACATCTTGAAGACTTTTCTGACATCACTGTTAGCATGTATACACGAACACACAAACACTTACAGTTCTTATATATACTTCTATTACCTGATATTTTCTTATTTGTGTACTTAATTTGTATAATCTGCTATAAGAAATTAACCTCTCAGAGCAGGGACCTTGAGTATGCTACTCCTTATTGTATCCCCAAGGTCTAAAACATGTGCCTACTACATGGTAGACACTCATAAATAGTATTTTAAAAAGAAGAGAATTTCTGTAACTGTAGAAAGTACTCAACAGTCCACCACATTTATATGCTAACACATGCTTAACCATTCCTTCAAAGATAGGCATGTGAATATTTATATTTTGGACTCCATTATTGGTAAAGGATTTATCTGAAAGACTAGCTACCTAATGAACAACCTAGAAAAGAGAACTGAATGAATGAATCAGTAATTTCATTTAAGGTACCACTTCAATCGCCTCCTCCCCCGAACTTTCTATGACAGTCAGTGACAAGCAGGACAAATGGTAGATCTGAGGGCCTGGGATGTGTGTGAAGGTGTGCAGGCGACAGAAAAAGACTCAGCACAATAAAACCAGCAAAACCCAAAAGACTAGGCTTAACATTTAGTTAATTTATTACAGAGAATTCTCCTTGGACAAGGTGGATCTCTGAGATTCTGTTCACTTCTCTGTTAAATGAAGATACCACTACTTACCTTACAGGACTGTTGGGGGATTAATAAAGAGAACATTGTAACCATAAAACCCGGTTTCTAATGAGAGGCAGAATTGAGATTAAATACTTAAATTAGATTGTCAATTCTTAATCATTAAGAGTTGGTAGCAGTTTTCTAGGGAAAGGCTATATTGCTGAATACTGGCTGAAACCTTAACTCAAGGATGATAAAGTCTGACATAAATCTGTAACCTGTCTAATAATTAACAGTTTGTACTGACACAGCCTTCACCTGTTCAGTGGTGGGCGTAATGGGCTGACTTTTTCACTGAGATTATCAGAGAGCATGTTATGCATGTTAACCTCATCTCAATTAAGATCTATGTATATCAATTTTATTACTTAAAAGTAGGACTCTCCATTAAAATAGTATAAATAAAAAAACTGAAGTTAGGTTACTCAAAAACTAGGCAGCTTTCAATTTTTTTTTCTTTTTTACTTTTAACGCCTAAGGTTTTACAGGATTTTGAGTTCTCAATCTTTATTTTAAAATTAATTTTATTGTTACATTTATTTTAGATGTTGGTCCTTTGTTTGAGGAACAACTGGCAAAACTTTTTTTCCACTGTGGGTTGTCTCTTCACTCTGCTGGTGGCTTCTCTTGCTGTGCCCAAAATCTTTTTAATCAACTGAGAGCTCAGTTGTTGATTCTTTGTAATATTTCCCATGTGGTCTGGGTTTTGTTCATGAAGTCCCTGCCTACACCTACGTCTTCAAGATCTCTAACTACTTTCTCCTCCAAAAGATTTAGTGTTTCTGTTTCAATATTCATATCTCTGATGCATTATGAGTTTAGTTTAGTGCATACAGATACACAGGGATCTAGTTTTAGTCTCTGGCATGTGGAACGTTGGTTTTTCCAGCACCTTTTGTTAACGAGGCTATCTTTTTTCCAGTGAAGGTGTCTGGCTCCTTTGTCAAAGGTAAGGTAGTTGAGTGTGCTTGGAGTTGTTTAATTTGTAAAATTAAATTATGTACACATCTTGACTCAGAACTTCAAAATGGAAAAACAAATTACCAGCAGGAGTCACAAATCTAGCCCAAACCGTGCGGAACCTCTAGCTTATGGAGACACAGCCTCTCGAAGCCCACACTGGGATACCCATCGCGAAGGCAGCACTTACCTCATCATACATGAACTGCAGGGTCAGGGCCGACTTGCCCACACCACCGCTGCCCACCATGATGACTTTGTGTAGGGCCAAAGAGTTCTGACCCTTGGGCTTATTTGTGGCCATCCTGTCTCACAGATTTTTCACCAGAGGCTTAAGGAGAATCTAAGAAGAATGAAAGAATAAGTAATGGTCAGTGCATGCTTCTTCAGATTCCAGCACAGGAAAGAGACATGGAATCCTTAGGGTTCAAGACAGCTTTCACTCTGTGGTGATTGCAAACAGATGGCAAGTGAAGTACGCTCACGAGGGAATCATCGGAGAATGAGAATGGCTGGCAATGAAACCAGCAGATGACTCGAGGGCATTTTTGTTAAAACAGTTTCTGTAATGAGCTGCGACCAAATGGGAAAACTTCCCAGTGCAAGCTCAAGCTGACAAGGATGGGAGATCTGCTGCAGTAGAATATATTCACATGGATTATGAAAACAGGCTTAAGGGTCACTGTATTCATACAACCTATGCTGGCAATATTTTAAGAGATACTGCTTCTAATTTCAGTATAAAACAAATGACCAAGGACTGCTATACCTTATGCTAAGGTCTTCATTGAAAGGCTTGCCATATTACAAAAGAAGAAACTTCATTCCAATACATTGGTAATAGAATTTGAAATAGACTCCAACACTGTACATCACAATTATTACCAGAACATCTATGTGTTGTGGGGTATGTAGCCATCCAACTTAAATACTTGGATTGGATTAAACATGCATTTGTTTAATTTTTTTTCCTTTGTGGTACTGGGGATTGAGCCTAGGGCCTTTGCACTGAGCTACGATTCTAGCCCTTCTTTATTTTGATACAGAGTCTTGTTATGTTGTTTCCTGCCTCAGCCTCCCAATGACTGGGGTCTGAAATAGAATCCAAATTCTATTTCAGCCAAATTCAAACTTGTGATGTGGACCAGGTTGCAAGGCACTGGTACCAGGCCTTAGGAAAACGTCTGTGAAGTCACAATGCATACTCTGAGTGTGTCGGGGATGGTGGTGGGGGACTTTTTGTCGTAGTCCTTCCTCCTCAACTTTACTGACACAGCTTTCCTGAGTCACCATTCACAGAACCATGCTCATCTCACTTCCCTCCAGTCAGTGCCCATCTCTCCAAGCTTGGCTACGTCACAACTGCACAGGACTCTAGCTCCTAGATCCTTCTCGGCCTCGGCCTCTGCCATCCACTTTCCTCTCTGGCCTATTCTTTACCCAGCCAGCTCTTCTGTTTTGGGGTCCCAGCCTTACCAGACATCCTGAATGTAAATTAGGCTTTCCTTTGTCCTGGTTCTCAGTGAATGTCTGCTATTTTTCATTTATGGCCATTTTGAAATCTGAAATTGCTTGAGCACATAGTTGTTCAACTTGGGGGTTCTCTAGTACAGTTTACCAGGAGTAGCTTGGGTTCTGGGGCCATGTCTGTCTGGTTTGCCTTATGCCTGATGTAACTAATGTGGCTTGGTGAAATCAGCCTTCAGTTCAGATGCACTGCACAAAAAAGCAAACGTGTGCAGCCAGACTGAACCCTGGGGAAGGGGACACCTAACAGGTACAAAGCAGCTACTGCTACTGGGGAGTCAAGTCATGAGGGGGAGTCAGGACAGAGCATGGATCTGTGCCAAGAGGGCATTCGAGTGCTGGGCACGGCTTCAGACCTCACCCAGGAATCATACCCACTCGTCCAGCTGCCCAACACAAAACAGTTTTCAAACAAACAAAAACAAGCCTACCACCCACTGAACATGACCGCGTTTGGGACTGCCTTCACCCTGCATTTGGCACAACAGAGCTCACACCATATATGGAATTCTTTCATACTGCTCTGATTGTATCAAAAGGACTTTAGTACAAGCAGCTGAAACTCTGAAGGGCTCGACAAAAAAAAATCTGTACTTATGGGTTCCATAGCTCAATTCAACTCAACAAACAAGGTCGGAGCCCCTCTTTTACAGGGGTACCAAGACCAATATCCTTAGATTCTGAGCACTTAGCACTGCTCAAAAAATGACAATTACAGTACACTGCAGATAACGGAAAGTCTGGATGATAAGAAAGCCAAGTCAGTTTATGGAACATGCTGCTGCCGGTGCTCCTACATAAATGGGACATGACTTCTTTTTCACTCTTACATTCCTAATCTGATGGCAGCTATAATGATGTCACGGCTATGCAGCCACCATTTTATTTTTAAAATACTAAGTATCACACGATCTCAGGGTGTTACCACATCAGTTAATATTTTAAGAGGTATGTATGTGAGTGCATGTATGTGTGCTTTAAAGCAAACATTTAGCAGTTCCAGTAGACTGGTTCAAACCCGTCCCCCCCAGAACAGTTTAATACACTGTCACTCAGACAAGAACCTTTTTTCCAATCAAGGGCATTCTTAGTAACTATGTGTGACATACTGTAGACTTACAAGAGGGTACCAGGAAAAGGAGCTCCCACCAAAGAATATATCTCATCCACCATTAAATAAATGGCACTTCTCCACTTTATTCCCCAGGCATGCTAGTCAGCTTTCTGTCACGGTGACAAAATACCTGAGAAAGTGCCAATAAATGGAGAAAAGGAAACTTAGGCTCACAGTTTCATAAGTTTTAGTCCATGGTCTCTTTGGACCTTCTCAGGACATCACAGCTCAGTAGGGACGGTGTGGTGGAACAAAGCTGCTTGCCTCATGGTGGTCAGGAAGCAGAGAGAGGAAGGCTGGGTAGGAATCCTCATATTCTTTCCAAGGGCACACACTGAAGACCTAACTGCTTTTCACCAGGTGCCACCTCTGAAAGGTTCTAACATGTCCCAGCAGCACCACAGGCTGACAACCAAGCCTTTGCGGGTATTTAAGAACTGAACCGTAACACCTGGTCTAGATGTTGTTTTGAATGGTAAACATCCAATGGCTCTGCCTAGCAGAATGTAAGACATGCAGAAATAAAATCCTAGCGGCACCAAGTGCAGTGAAAACCTAAGAGGGCAGAGGGATTATTACAGTTTATATCCAGATGTCTTCCCAAGGCCTCACGTGCTCACAGGTGGGGCTTTGGGGGGGGGGATTGGATCATGAAGACATCATATACATCAGTGGATCAGTCCACAGATGAGTTTGCAGCTAGATGTGTTGTTGGAAGCCTGGCTGGAGTGGGACAGTGACTGGGACCATGGCCTAGGAGGGTGGGAAGCTCACCCCACACCCCACCACCTTGCTGCTACCGTCCTGTTTCCGCTGCCATGCCAGGAACTCTTTCTCCTCTGCCATGCTGCCCTGACCTGGGGCCAGCCAGCCACGGACTGAAGTCTCTATAAACTGTAAGCCAAAATAAACTTTCTCCTTAGAGCTGTGAGTGTTGTGTATTGTGTCTCCATGATGAGAAAACACAACTACGACACGCATAAAGAGTGGGAGGATGGTCCAGGGTCACTCCCCTGCAGAGGTGGCATTTAGAGCCAGGACACGAAGGAAGCAGCAGCTCTGGGGGCAGCGGGGCTATGGGGAATACCAAGCACAAGGACACTAAGATGACAGTGAGCTGGCACTTGCTGGGGATGAGAGGTGCACAGCAGAGGAGGGCTGGTGGTGACAGGTGAGGAGGGGTGAAAGGGAAGCGAGGGCCAAATCACAAACACCCTTCAAGGCCACTGGAAGGTGTATGGATTTTATTACAACTGCAGTGGAAAAATTCTCGAGTGCTTTAAGCAGGAAAGTGCCATAATTTCATGCATGTTTTAAAAAGATCACACAGGCTGATGTGTAGGAAGAGACACCAGGAGTGCAAGAGCTGAAAGTGCAGAACGCTATGCCAGTGGTCCATGCTTGAGAGGACAGAGGCCTGGGTTACTGTGGCAGCTGGAGAAATTATACTAGTTCCGCCACTGTAAGTAGCAATGGTATAAGTACCTTCTCTATCAAGAACAACAACAACAACAAAAAAAAACAACCACCACTGCCCAGGCACTAAGCACTAGACCTCCTTCTGAGCATTCAGTGTCCAGGAACTCATCTGAGCACCATATTTCATACAATAACAATTCTATAAGGAGCAAATTATGTTAACTTCACTTAACAGGTGAGGACTCTGGGTCACAGAAGCTCACTTGCTCAAAGCTGGGCCAGGATTTGAAGTGAGGCAGCCTTACCACTATGCCACCTGTGATGCATGCTGACTGATAAAAATTTTACTATTCAAATTTCTATATGAAAAAATTGTCTATAAGCATAGTAAAAGGTAAAACTGGGGAAATACTTACAACTTTCATAGATAAAAGGCAATTTCCTTATGTAACAGGGGTACAATAAAATCATGTGTCGGAAATGAATGAACAGTCACAGAAAACTCCATGCGAACTACAATAAATATGTTCAACTTCAGTAGGAGAAATATATGTAAAACTGCTTTGGGACACCATTGCTTTACTCATTAGACTGATGTCTGTAAATGCTAGCAAATCATGGCTCTGTTGGGCTGTTTTCAGATGGTCTGTGATTAAGAATGATTTTATGTTTTTGAAGGGCTGCGAACAAAACAAATCCAAGAATAAGCAACAGAGAATAATGTGTGGCCTGCAGCCTAAACTGAAAAGGCTTGTTTACCTGTGGTGTAGAGAAACAGGCACATTCAGTCATTGCTGCTGGAAGGGTAGACCTGATACACGAACGATACACAACTAAAAAGCAGTGAGTGAGCTTGGTATAAAGCACTGATGGAGAAGGAGCTCAAGTACTGTTAAATAAAAAATAAAGCTAGATGTAGAACAAAATTGAACAAAACAATGTATTCTTTATGTTATGAACTGCTAAAAAAACCCAACAAAGATTATTTAAGATTTGCTTATATATTTGGAAGTATGTAAAAACTGTAAGAAAATTGCCTGTAAGAATGAAAACTATTTTGTATTACTAATACAGACTAATAAAATAAAAAGGATAGAAACCATATTACTAGTGGACAGAGTTAGGGGAATGACAGTTCACTGTATAACATTTTGTGTATTTTTGTGCCATATGCACATATAGTTTATTTTAAAAATCAAATTAAAAATAGTCATAAAGGGCTGGGCATTTAGCTCAGTGGTGTGGCCTCTGCCTTACAAGTGGGGGGGGGGTCCTGAGTTTGA